GATGGTACCAGTGCCAGCTCCACAGGTACACAGAGTCCAGAACCCTTTGCCAGTGACATGAGTTCGGCATCGGCCTTCCAGCCCTACCAGGCCAACAGTGAGATCGAGGTCACCCCAACCGCTCTGCGGTCAAGTGAGTCTAATAAAAATATCATTACATCACCACTATTAGTTCACTACTGTGACTTTAAAACTAGCTATCATCATTGTGGTATCAATTAATGTTAATGGTTCACAGAACAAATGTATCCATTAAATACTCATGTATTTGGATCCTTTTTCTAGCTTATTATATACTGCTATGAAACGACATAACTGCTATAACTGCTAATAATCCATCAATGAAAAACACACAAAAAAAAGAGCTTGAGGTGGATTTCCTACTACCTAGCAAAAAGCAACTGACAATGTTGAAAGGCATACTATAACATGCAAAAAAGTGAAAAATCAGCATCAGCATGACTAGCACCTTAAGTACTGTAATGTGTGTTTTTAAGAATGAGCAGGTAGTCTATCCCACCTGCAGGAAATCAAAATGCAAGGCTTTGCATCAAGCTGACATCTGAAAGCTAAAAGTTACTATGGGAAGCTGAGCATAACAAAAGGAACTCAATGCAAACCACATTCTGGACACACATGCACAACTGTTTTTACGTGTTAATAGCATAAAGACTAACTTGTAAGTGGACATTAAGAACCAGACGGAAACAATACCAAAATGCAGCAGAGTAAACTTTTTTTTACTCTGGCCAGCGTCTGTTTAACTTGACATGCTTCAGGTGTGTTGTGTGTGAGTCGAGTCTCTGTCAAGACTGTGCAGTGTGCCCAGGGAATGGTGGTGTACTGACTCAGACAGACAGGTAGAAACAGAGACGATGGAAGAAATTGAGACACAGTTGGATTCTCAGTCATGCATGAGCAGGAGCACACATGCCAGAGCAAGGTGGACATGCACACACTCACAGACGGCACACACAACCAGAAACTGGCACACACAAGTCAGTGACTCAGATGTTGCTCATGTCCACATATTCACGTCCCATGAAGTGGAACCAGTGAGCTGATGCAGAGCTGTCTTAAACTTCAAAGAACATCTAAGACTTTCAAACCAGAACTCACATAGGGGCATAGACTCACACATGCACTTGAATACACAGTAGACTTCACTCCCTACCCTAACATAAAAGAGCGTCCCAGTTGCCTTCAACCTGTCTGTTAGATGTATTGAAATTGTTCCAGAGCAATGGCAATCTGAAAGTAAAACCAGTAGCTCAGAGTGAGAGGCATGTTTGTTTGAAGCTATATGACCTGCTGTCAACTTGTTTCAAATATTGACTAGGTGTCTGAGAGATATATCGTGTTTTTCATCGCTCACACAGACAAAGATGCTGCAGTACTGAGTAGCTTCTAAAACTGTTCATATATTATGGAAGGACGACTTAAACATGTCCTTCCATTAGACAAGATCGATTCAAGGCTGTGTTGGAAGCCTCTGCCCTGTTAAAGTGTCCTTGAACAAGACCATGAATCCCAGTTTGGCCCCTACTCTTGCACACTGTCCTCTCTGGCCTCTTGGTGCATGTTTGCATGGAAGGTTCGCCTTATTTAGGGTTTGCTTGTTATTAAATATAAATTTGGGCATGAACATGAACTTATAGCTACACCCTAACACTGCCTTTTCATGGTTAAAATTGATTGCAGAATGTGGTGGTAGGTTGTTGTACATTTACAGTAGCTACAGCATATAGGGTAACTTAACAGCTGAACAAGCAAAGCATTTATCAGTGTTCATGTGAGTGAGTGCACTTATTGACACCCTCCTGCTGCCCTCCACATCTTTAAATATGACTTTAGTCTGAGGTAGTTGATGAATTGTTCCAGTCTGCTGTTGTATAGCGATCCTGACCTATGATCTGCTGGGATTCAAGCAAATAAAAAGAAATTAATTAAAAGATGAATGACAAGTGACTTTTGCTCACATTGGAACTTGAATTGTTTTCTAGTGGCAAGCATTTCATGCTTATGTAAGCCTACCCAACCACACAAACATACATTTCTAAGCCTACCCTTTACATTCACAGTAAATTGTACATTTTACATTAAAGGAATGTAATGACGAGATTGCAGCAAAAAAGAAGAACTGATTGATTCCTTCACACTGCGTCTTTTATAGTGATGGGCATATCTATGACAATTTTTCAGAGATAATGACAGTGAAGAAGATAGATAGGAAAGAGAGACAGGAGGCTGTACCTTTGACTGATTAGGCAGACTGGCAGGTAAAGTCAGTAATATTTTTTGTTTTGTGGTAGTGTGCTGTGGTAAGTGCTGTATTACAAACAAGATGCAAGTGAGATTGCATTGTTTACAGGATATGATTGTTCCTCAGAGACTATGTTTAATTCATACCGACATTTTCCACTCCAAAAGTACCTCAAAAGGTGTATATGTGTGTAGTGAATACGAATTTATACCAGACTGACTGGTAACGTACACACGGTCAGGCAGATGAATAAGACAGACAGGCGATGGTCCCTCCAGAGATGCAGATGAGCAAATTACTGGCAGCAATATTGCATATCAGACATCAAAGTGTTGCAGCGGCGCCCTTGGCAGCTGTGCTCTGAGGCAGAGAATTATGGCTATTTAAAATCATCATCTTTTAGAGCCATATTGATTGTTTTTTCCCCTCCTACAACTCCCAAAGTCCCAAACTCTCTGTCTCGCTGTCTTTCTGTCCTCCACCCCTCCCTTTCCTCCGTCTTGGGAGCAAATTTTAGATTTCTATGCTAACATGTGCCGTGCAGGTCAAACTGCTAATAATTGGGTTGGAGATGAGATGTAAATTACTATAATGAATGTAATTTTCCCGTAATTATACGGACGCCGGAGCTGCCTCTGACTCTACTCACCACTAAATTCTAATCTTTCAGAAGTAAGAGAAAATGTCTGAAACTTTAAATTAACACTGGATCTTAATGGTGCTTGTAGCTTCGAAATTGAAAGTTCTGTTCTTTGTTGCTCAAGGAGTTTCACAGGGGTCCTTTTATTTGACCCAGAGTTGAGTTTATATAACTGACAGTCAGGTTGCCATTTGTCAAAGTTTTTCTATGTTTAAACAGTTTCTTTACGAGTATAGACATAGGCTCCTGGGTGACAGAAATGGTGCAACAAGTTGTTTTACCTCTTTAAGGCTAAATTAATTAAAGTAAAATATTTAAAGGCCGCTGTGCCAAGTGACCACTAGTAATAGCTTGTCCTCTCTGTTTCTTCCACCTGTGGTCAAACAGAGAGGGGAGCAAATGGAGAAGACTCTCTGTTGATTATGTGGTTATTTGACTGTGGTGATTTATTTGATAATTAACACTTAATTATGATTGTCCAAATCATGGAGTACACAGTGCTGAGTTACAGTGGTTACGGATCAGGTTATGCTTGAACAGGATGAGTTCATACAACGTGTCGTACGATCACGTCGGAAATCAAAAGTTTTTCCAGTTCCCCCTGTCTAAAGCATCATTTTATCTACAGCATTGAACCTAGGCTGTAAATATGTTGGATTTTGCTGATATCACACGTCTTCATGGCCCGAAGGACATTCCGAAGGATTAGTGTGAATTACATCCCTATGTGTGAAAGAGGTATTCAACAGATTACCGTTTTGGACATCAACTTTAGCAATGGTGTGTTCCTTAAACTTTACTTTCATAAATTACTTTTATGTGATTGTTAATTCATTGTGAGGGTTTTTTATTCTTAGGTTTTTATCGGCTCAATGGCAATTGCTCAGGATATAGACCCAGAAATGGGAGAAGCTTAAGTGCTATTGACAGAGGTTAAACTACACTGACATTGATGTGGAGTGGCTTTAAAACACTAACAAAAGATCACAGTGATTGCAATAATACTTCCATGATTGACCCCCTGCCAATTTACAGATCAAACTAAAATATATACAGACAACCTGTCATTTTGTCTTTTACCCTGTGACCACTTTCACTTTCACCATTTCAGCTCCAGCCAAGACAAACCTGCTTTCTGGCGCTTCTATCGATTAACAAACAAAAACAACAATGTAGTGACAAATTGTCCATTCCTTCACTGACCTGGTCTTGTGGTCCTTGAATCTCTGCTCCCTTGGTCCTTGATGCTCTGCAGTGACAGGGTTGCTGGGAGGCCATTAGAGAGATTGCCTGTGCGGGGGGGGGGGG